ACATTAGATAGGCCTGATGTTCACAATCTGGAGCACTCGTGACCTTGCGATCCTAATGTATCATTCACGCCACGCACACAGGCATCGAGCGGGCATCTCCGACACTTGGCTGCTAAGCTTCACAGGCAGGTTGAGTGTCGACCTGATTGGATCTTGGTTTAGCTGTAGATTCAGATCTTTCTTCCCTGTTCTCTGTTACACATTATAGCATACACACTCCTCTCGAAACACAGCCTGTCACTCTGGCTACAAAACTCCACCTGACTAGACCTTTGTCTCCTTCTTGAAACCTTTGTTCTGGGTTCCTCGTGCTGTCGCACTACCACTGTTCAGATATCTGGGGCTTTCGCGAGTCTTTACCTTCTTGTGCGTTTCGCACTTGTATTTTATGCGTTCTGCACTTGTATTGTCTTTGACTTTATAACGTCATCAGGAAACACTTGTAGAAATTCCCCTCATTACACTCAGTGTGTGTCCTGTCCACTGCCAGTTGCCCCACGCCCTAATTTTCTGGAATTTTTGTATTTCTCTCTAAGCAGTAATTCTGTCACATAATTTTATTCTGTCGTGGCACAGTAATTTCGTTCACAGACCTAAGGGAAAATTTAAAGCTGTTGTTTGTATAAGAAGATACTCCATACCACACGAGCACCAGCAGGCTCTGTGCTGGTTTTACAGATCCTCTTTGCAAGACTCCTGCCACACGTCCACCTCGTGAGCTACGGATAAGGGCTCAACTATGTGAGCTGACCCAGCTGGCAGGGGAATCTCCAAGTAGATGGCCCCCAGGATGTGCATCAGCCCACCCTCAGTGCCTAGGGTGAAAATGTCAATCAGGACTCATAAGTACGACCTCTGGCCCAACATACCACTAAATAACAACTCTCAGTTACAAGATCTTTCAGGGGGAGGGGGGGGGGGCGCAGCTGCTGAAACTCAGTCCTAGACCACGAGATTTGCCCGCAGCTTAGTCGAGAAAATCCCATGTAAGCGATTCCTCTCGAGATAGTCCTGTCTCCATTCATCCTTTGGTGGCCCTCAACGCCATTCTCACCGCGTTGAGGCACACCACAACAACCCGCTAACATCAGTCTTCTGATTAGGCCAAATGTCCCTCAGATATGTGTCCTATGATGCAACATCAAGGTCCTTAACTCTTGCAGGACCACACTTTTTCTGGGGTTTGAATAGCATCCATTTTGAGCTAAAAAATTTTAAACCTTCGTGAAGAAAAAGTATGGGCTGTATCAGGACACACATCAAATTAAAGATGAATAAGTGCAGAATAAATCTAAACTATTCAAATGTCAGTATAATAAAAAAATATTATTAAAATCATACAACATTCAAGGATGTTAGACACACATAAAAACTATTGACATAAAATTGTGTGTGCTTATCTTACTTTTTTACTTGTTCAACAACACTGCTATCCAGTTCTAAGAATACACATGCCTTCTCTGTTCAATTATGTATTAGCTAGTCTTTATTTGAAACAATTATTTTAAATACTTTGAATTTTATGATCATTTTTGTATGACATGTCAATTTTCACAACCAGAAATCGGGAAAACAGCTGATCGAAACATTGATTCGATTGAAATATTTTGTTGAATTTTCATATCCTAAACTAAACTATCACCAATAGGTTTGTCACTTAGATATCAGTCATAATATCAAGACTGTTGTCACCATCTGGTAGAGATTCATCAACGATAGAGCAGTATGAACAGTTTTAGACCTTTTCCCTTATCATTTAGTAAAGAAAAATCACGTAAAAATTGTATCTCAGCTAAAAAAAATGTTTTTTAAATCTTAAAATAATGCACCGAACACGATGAACTTTCCAAATGAAAGGACCTCCTGTTGTTAATCCTAATTGTTCAAAAACTTGTTCATAAGATAAAAGTTCATTTTCCCCACAAACGGAGCAAAATTAGAGTGTCTCTATAATACGCCAATATACTGGCAATACGTCCATTTGGGATAAATTTATTTGCCAGTATACTGGTGATATGTCTTTAAAGAATAAATGTCCTACTATCAAAAGTTGTATGTTGGCAGAAAGGCTTAAAAGTCTGTTACCATTGACCCCACTCGCTAGAGTGTCATGACTGAACAGAAAGACATGCCTGATGGGTGCTTTTATCCAACTGTTGTGCTTCATGTCCAGGTGAAACGTTAAAGGTGCTTGACATGTGCATAAAGAATTGACCTACTTGTGTGGTCATCAAAGTCCTGGACCCGCCGACTGCTGCCTGCTGATTGAAGAGGGTGCCGCCCATGAAGAATGGAAAGCTCAACATACAGATGTGAAATTAAATGAAGCTATCGTGTGCATGACGTGGCGATTCCTTGGGTGAGCCCAGAACCTGAGCGTCATGTCTAGGCTCTGCAATTATGGAAACCTTCATGGATGGCAGGTAATGCTTACCATCTGCCCCATGCCTTTCACTGACAACTGATCAGTCTACACACAGTTGCCCCTGGATAAGGGGACAAAGTGAATGCCAACATTAAAAAAGGCAACGACATGTCCATGTCTCACAAAACTATCTGGGAAGTTAACTTGGTCAACAAGTGCTTGAGCAAGTCAGTTGTATCACCTTCACCAAATCTCGCATACTACAGGATGGGGTGAAAAACTAAAAAGAACTGCTTTGGGAGCTACAGTGGTCCAGTGGCTAGACCATCACCCTCTGGCCCGAAGGTCCAGGGTTTATGTCTGGATCACGTTTGCTATACAAGGTTAACCCAGCCTAAATGAATACTAGCTCATGTCCTGGGAAGTAAAGGCGACTGGCATGATGTTAAGCACATTACCCATAAAGTGATTGCTAATGGTCTATACAAATATAGGACCAGCACTATATGACTAAGTATGGAAGTCATGTAAAGGTCCTTGACTTTGATCGACTTTGCTCCAGAAGCTTTTGTTCAGGCTGTATTGTATGTTCTTTGTGGTCGTATTATGTTTGCTGCCAGATTAATCTAACATGCACAATACAGAACATAGCGGCATGGGGTGCTCCTAGACAGTATCCTTGTGCAGAAACAGAACATATCAGCATAGGGTGCTCCTAGACAGTATCATTGTGCAGAAACAGAACATATCAGCATAGGGTGCTCCTAGACAGTATCATTGTGCAGAAACAGAACATATCAGCATAGGGTGCTCCTAGACAGTATCATTGTGCAGAAACAGAACATATCAGCATAGGGTGCTCCTAGACAGTATCATTGTGCAGAAACAGAACATATCAGCATAGGGTGCTCCTAGACAGTATCATTGTGCAGAAACAGAACATATCAGCATAGGGTGCTCCTAGACAGTATCATTGTGCAGAAACAGAACATATCAGCATAGGGTGCTCCTAGACAGTATCATTGTGCAGAAACAGAACATATCAGCATAGGGTGCTCCTAGACAGTATCATTGTGCAGAAACAGAACATAGCGGCACAGGGTGCTCCTAGACAGTATCATTGTGCAGAAACAGAACATAGCGGCATGACGTGCTCCTAGACAGTATCATTGTGCAGAAACAGAACATATCAGCATGACATGCTCCTAGACAGTATCATTGTGCAGAAACAGAACATATCGGCATGACGTGCTCCTAGACAGTATCATTTTGTAGAAACAGAATAACTTCGGTTATAACAAACACATCAGATACAGAGGTGCTGAAGAGACGGAATGAAAACAAAGTTGGAAGGACAAAATCATGAGATGAACAGAGGTATCAGAGAATGAACAGCCAAGACAAGAGACAGGATATGTTGGAGATCCATTGCAGCCAACTGATATAGTGGAGATGGCACCTGAATGTATGACTGACAAGTTTAGGAACAACAGTAATTGAAGGTATGGCTCCTGGTGGATGAGACAGGAGTTGAATATGTTGGTGGACAGCAGATGTCAAGGAAAACCTAAGTGTGAAAGTTCATGCCATGCGAAAGTGGATTTTCATCATCATTTTGCAAAGGCACCTTCTGCGTGGTGATGAATACCAAGCAAATAGTTATTGTGTGACAGATGAGTTATTGAAAGCGTTGAATGTAAAATGGGCCAGTTTGTGAACTTTCCAAAATACATTGTATGTCTTGATTTAGTCCTCCCTGTTTAGTGTGCATTCTCAAAGTCTTCTATCTTGATATTGTCCTTTCCCATGTCTTTTCTGGGACCCCATTGTGGAAAAAACAAGAATAGATCCACTGCCCCCCCCCCCCCCCCCCCACCCCCCAACAAGCATGTTGTAGGAGTCAACTAACTGGGGGCTTCCTTTGAAGTTGGAGTGCATCTGCCCGAGCGGCAAGGAACAACCAACCACACACAAATAAGCCAGTAAAACGGTTGTACATGCAATACTCAGGCCCTGGCACAAAACAAAAGTCCAGATAGATCAACAACCAGGCCCTGGCACAAAACAAAAGTCCAGATGGATCAACAACCAGGCCCTGGCACAAAACAAAAGTCCAGATAGATCAACAACCAGGCCCTGGCACAAAACAAAAGTCCAGATGGATCAGCAACCAGATCCTGGCACAAAACAAAAGTCCAGATGGATCAACAACCAGGACTTCCTGGCACAAAACAAAAGTCCAGATGGATCAACAATCAGGCCCTGGCACAAAACAAAAGTCCAGATGGATCAACAACCAGGACTTCCTGGCACAAAACAAAAGTCCAGATGGATCAACAACCAGGACTTCCTGGCGGAGCTTACAGCTGCTGGTGAACAAAGAAGAAGAAGATATTGTCCACCATCATGCAATGTTGTTTTCCTCTTGTATGCTTCCCTGTTCTTTTTCTGCAGCACATAAACAAAGAGCTGTGTATATATACTAAAAGGACTGATCTTATTTAGTCAGATTGTCCTATATTAGTCCACTCACTGTTGCCACAAGCTGTTAGCCCAATGTAATGCTATAGTCTGAATAGACATAAAGTGTGCTGACAAGTAGTCATATAAATTGTTAGTTATTTTTTCTCAACAGGTTTCTTTGACAAGGCAAAGAAGAGAATTTTGGGGGATAAACTTGAGGCAGAGTTGACTCAGACTGATGACCCAGCTAGAAGGGAGGAGCATGAAGGGCTTTCTGGATTTGACCCTTCATGGTGGGGCCATCAGGAGCTGGGTAAATTTATTAGTATTTTTAAGAGCAGTGTTTTTGCTAGTATCTGAACATTTGTACACTCTGTGAACTAGTAAAATTGAAGAACTCTATCTATGGCTCATTAGCAGTAATGTTTATTGAAAACTGAAATAGTTTGGCTATTTTGAACGCTATAATGGTTTGGAAAGAATAGTCATGTGTGAATAATTATTTAGTGGAGTTTCACAAATTAACAATTCAGCAAAGTATTCTTTCCATCTGGAACATATTTTCTCATTATTATTTATCATGTTTCCATTGTGGTCTTTTAAACCATCTATGCTGTGTTGATGCCCTCATTTTACAGCCTTCAGTCTTGAAAACACTTTCTGGATTCATTGTTAGGCTTCTATATCTATGACAACATATATTTGCAGCCTAATTACTTTTGTAGTTTCTTTACAGTCTGTTCTAAATCTTTTTATTATATTTTGTCTGTTGCTAGTATTATTTAGCCACATCTGCCTGGCATGTTTTTTTCTTACTGACTGCTTCTTCACATTTTGTGTCGAACCGTTTGTTCTCTCTGTTTTTGGTGGACGCACCAAGATATTCTTCTGCAGTGGTTTGAATTATATTCTTAATATCCATCCAGATTTAGTCATTGTCTTCCTCAGACAGATTTTGTGCAATTTAAATTTTACGTTTAATTCATCTGCACATTTTTATGATATTGAGGATTTGAGTCAAACACATCTGTTAAATTCTTGGGCATCACTTTGTAGAGAGTCAAATCTTCTACCAGTTTGCTGGACCTGTCGTAGATTTTTTAAAAATATCACAATAGTTAACTTCCTCATCATCTTTTCTTCCCTGGCAACTCCCAGCAAATTCTGGAAATTATCTGATACCTATTTTCATGTGAAGATAAAGAGGGAAGAGAGAGATGAGTATTGATTGTTACAATCTTGTCATTTCTCTACCATTTCAGGTCAAATCAGGAATCACACAGATAGTTTCAAGTCTATCCGCGATGCCAGAGTCAACCTCTTTGTTGTAGAAACCAACAAGTTGCTTATTCGACTTGACAAACTATTGAGCCCAGAAGCACCACTAGACCCAAAAAAGAGAAGAGGTGAATCAGATTGACTTTTAAAATAGTTTTCTTGTCGTTTTGAGATATGTACTTTAGCCTTCTGTCCCCCAAAGGGGCAAATGCCCTCAACCAACTCACGTCAAGTCATTTTTGAGATATAGGTTCTACATAAATCTTTTTTTATATTTTGTGACGTGAAGCTCAGAACACTTTCTCACTGTCATTCTCATTATGTCTTAACTGTCTTCCATTCTTTTTTTTTTTCTTCACCACCTTCCCATTCATCTCTCAAACGTTTTCATTCAGCAAATTTTCACCAACCAGTTTCATAATATTCACATGTCCAGTCTTGCTTTTAACTCATTTTAGGTCCATGAATTTTGACAGACTACTAGAATTATGACAGACTACTAGGTTCGCTTGTTTTTAACTCTTTCAGGGCCAAAATTTTAACAGCCTGTTAGGCTCACACTAAATTCCCCCCAAAATGTCAAAGAGGCTGTTGTAAAAAAAAAAAAAATTACAATAGAGAATGTCATATATTTCTAATCCCTACAAAAGTATAAATCTATTTTTGAAGAGGAATGTACATTTTGAATCTGATATGCTTTTGTTTAATGCTGTTATAATTGGTAGAAAAAACCATTAAGCAGCTGTTATGTTTACAAAGACAAAATTTTACAGTTGTATACAGATTGTAGCTGCAGTGTATTCATTGCAGCTTAGCCATAGAATGGTAGTGTTTGAAACAGTCCTTTGGATGCAGATGTGAGTGACTATAACAGCTTTCGCAAATTAAATGGTTCCTCATGGGTTTAGCTCATTTGAACTGCTAGATTATCTAACAGCTGATCACCGTCTGAGTCATTTCCACACACAAATTATCTTCTTCTTCTTCGTTCACCGGCTGTGAATTCCGGCGGAAGGTCCCGGTTAATCGTTCGTTTGAACTTTTGGCTTTTCCCTGGACCTGAGTTTTGCATGTACAACTGTTTTACTGGCTTTTGCCATTTCCTGCCTCACGGGCAGATGTACTCCGACTTCGAGGAAAGACGCCAGTCCTATTTCTAGGATGACTGTGGCCATTGTTTTGTGTGGGTCGAGACGTTACCTCATATGTGTGGTGACCTCTTTGTCGCTTTCTCCACAGGTGTTGCCCCCGGAGTACCCCCTTTTGGGCAGCCCAGTGTGGGACGGTTAGCCCCCAAGGAAAGGCAGGGGCAGATCATGGGCATTCCCCGCCATCCAAGAAGGCTTCCATAAAAGCAGAGCCGATACATAACGCTCTGGTTCTGCGCTCACCCAAGGAATCGTCACGTCCTGCACATAACTGCTTAACCTCACAACTGTATTAGGCTTCCCACTTGACAGGGGCTGCGCCTTCCGGAGATCAGCGGGGAGCAGCCTGTGGGTTCTGGACTTGGTGACCACACAATTAGGTACATTCTTTTTCATTGCACGTTAGACACCTTTAGCGTTGTTTCAACTGTGCCCTTAGCCCGACAGTATGGGGAAGCATGCGTCAGGCGTGGCTTCACCTGTTTGGTCCCAACACTCGGGCGAGTGGGACCAGTGTATACGGACATTTGGACTTTTATCTAATTGGTACGATTTATGATGTTCGGACTTTGAGCTTGCTTGTGTGCCGTAGGATCTGACTTTGTTGGACATTATTACCTAGCCAGCAGATGAAAAGTTGCTGTCATTGTATACAACAGTGTGGTGTCGACGACGCTGAGGATTGACAGAAGTTTTACGTAGGTAGGATCTGACTTCGAGAAACCAGCCACAAGAGATGTTACTCGTCTTGGCTGCGAGTTAAATTCTTGGTCAAGGGTTGAGTCTCAGCAGCACAGTTTTCCATTCGCTCCAGTCTTTTAACCAAGAGTTGTCATTTGGTGGTACATTTGCCAGGCAGACTTTACTCATGTTCCGAATGAGTTTTGATAGACTTTTCACCCACGCGTTTGTGGGCAGGCTGATGAGGACCACTACACCTCTGGGGGCCGCCAGCTCCGAGATCCCCTGCCAACTCTGTTAATGCTCATTTGAGACATTATCCGTGGCGCACGACGGGGACGTGCAGCAGGAGTCTTGCATGAGGTTCCATAAAACCAGAACAGTAAAGGCCTGGCGCCCTAGTGAGGTACGGAGTATCTCCTTATACACATCACATCAGACTTAACTTTTCCTCACGTCTGTGACCTAAATCACAGCGCCACACACAAATTATCTATTCCATTACGACAGTCAGAATTAAGAACTTGTGACTGAAATTAGCTTAATCAGCAGAAAGATGCATTTGAGACTGGTACTTGTGCTTTGAAAATTGGTATCTATGGTTAGTCAGAGACAAAATCGCAAATGTCACTGTCTGAAAATGACTGGCAATAAATTTGACAATGATACACCTTAGAGATTTGTCAACAACCAAAAACATTAGAGCAACCTTCCCTGAATATTCTATAGGTAATTCTGAACATTAAAAGTGGTTAGGGAACAGTATTCAAATGAAAATGTACTGGACACACAATCGACCCAGACTGTGGTTTGGTCAAATCAGAACTTTTTAACCAACACACATAGCGTTGCTTGGCCCTGAAAGAGTTGAATGTAATTGGGTTATCCTAATTTAAGATTATTAAATTGTTTTTAAATTATATCAAGACACTAGACATTTTTGTCCTGTTTGAGACACCGGGACATTTGTTATTTTCTACCATATTAACAGTTGATTTTAGTTTCATTGTTATTGTAGACTTCTTTGTCTAGTTGGTGTCCGCGGCTTAGGCCTTGCGGACAAGCTTTGAAGTGGCCAGGGGTCAGGTTCTTTCTCAGCTGCAGGCCATTTGGCAGCTGATCATCTTGTGTTGGGTTTGACAGTGGTACTGAGAGTCAACTGTTTAGGGCACCAGTGGCAAACTATTAACCTAACATTTGCCTAGAAAATGCCATAGCAGCCACAAAATGCTGGAGTTGGTTCTGCAGTCTTCAGTGAAGGATACATAACTCACTTTTTTTATTTGTAAATCTTTTTCTTTTGTTGGTTGCTTCTGGGCTTTCACTCTTTTGAAACAAATTTTTTTTTTAACCCTACCAGACCTGAGGCCCTGGACCTAACTGAATCCTATACCTGAGCTCCTGGGCACTAACGCGAATAAGCCAACATGATATACACAAATATTAGTTACATGCAAACAAGTGGTTACAATAAGATGAAACTTGGGGACATTGTAGAAAATATGTTTACAATTTATCTAGCGCCAATATTCCACTTTTGTGTGCTAATCCACTCAGGAGGATCAGCCTTGTTTCACAAAGTGAACACCAGATGTTGCTGTTGGAGGGACACGCCCCCTTCTCCTACTTTCGATATATTTCTAGATTTATAATTTTCAAGATTCGCCTCATTATTCCAGCTCTCACTGACTGTCACTTCAACTGGGAACATATTCTTCATGAAATTATGACTCCGTAGAGTCTGAATCAACCAAAGTATCAATCACCTGTTGGACTGTGAAAAGCCTAGACCTACTTCACTTTCCTGTCGAAGTGCTTGGTTCATCAGCCTCTCATTTTATTGTGAATTTTCAGAATTTTTTCAAGTAAACAATGGCATTTTCTTTATTTTCCCTCAAAATTTTTTCACTATATAGAGAGAAAATGTCTCTGGATAAGACACATCCCTGTCTTACACCTTGCCTTATCTGTTCAAAAGTAACCAATCTGTTTCCCACTTTAATTGCTGCTACTTGGTTCCAGTAAATATTTTTAATTATTCAGAGATGTTTCCCGTCAACATTGATGTCTTCCAACATTTTTATCATCTCTTCGTGTTTAACTTTGTCAAATGCTTTGGTATAATCTATCAAGCACAAATGTAAGTCCTTTTGTACGTCCATTGATCTTTCTCTCAGTGTTCGTAATATGTATATTGCATTACTTGTCCCTTTTCCTTTCATAAATCCATACTGCTCTTCACTCATTTCCATTCTTATTTTTCTTTTTTCTTTGTTCTTCTCATTATAATTCTAAGTAATAATTTGGTGACATGATTTGTTGTTTATTGTACGAAATTCTTCACACTCAATTGCTCCTGGTCTTTTGGGTAACGCAATAAATACAGATTTCATCACATCACTTGGAATGTACCCAGTGTTATAAATATCATTCAACAGTTTAGTGAATATTTCTACCACAAATTCCCCCAGTATTTCTAATTTTTCTACTGAAATTGCATCTGGCCCAGTTGACTTTCCCTTCTTCAAATGGTTAATAGCGTCGCTAATTTCTTCCTTTAGTAGAAACGGACCTTCTAAATTTCTTTCTTCTGGTAATTCTGCTCTCTTTCGATCATATAACTTTCTTATGTATTCATTCCATATAGTTATTATATCATCTTCCTCCATTAAGATCTCTCCTGCTTTTGATTTCAGACATCATGTGTTTACTCGTATCTTTCTTCCAGTTAGATCGTTAATTTATTTATGCACAGTTTTTGCATCTTTAACAGCACTGTGTTCAATTGTATTGCATTGTTCATTTAGCTACTGTTCTTTTGCCTTCATACACTCATGCCTTATTTCTTGACTTCTCTTGTCATATTCTTCCTTGTATTCATGCACTGCTTTCTGTCACTCATTAACTTTAAAATTTCTTTGTTCATCCATTTCTGTTTAGCTATTTGTCTTCTTTCTGGTCAAATCTCTTTGCTTGTTTGATGGATAGACTCTTTCAGCATTTCCCACTGATCGCTTATCGTTTGTATTTTTGGTATTGCATTGTGCCTGTTCCTCGCAATCACGCTTTAATGCTCCTGAATGTTTTAATCCTCTGTTAGAAAATCATTGTTTAGCCTACAGTTTTTCTTCTCTTTCTTTCTCCTCTTCAATCTTACATTTAATTTTCCACATAATTGGTCGTGGTCACTGTTACAGTCAGTCAGTAGTCACTCCTACCTACCCTTTTGGTGTTTTCATTTCTAGAATATTTCTAGTATCAATACTTACCCTATCAAAGCAACCATAAATGACTCAGGTGAAAAGATTACTCCACAACATTAGATAGGAAAGTTATTAGTCACATTCAGTTCTTCTTCTTCTGTGCTTGCCCTGAAAAAGGCGGTTGATACGCTGATTGTGGTTTACAGCTACGCAGTGATATCTGTGCCTTTTGGGCCCAACGCATCTGATTTCAGCAAATTCCTGTTTATTGACATTTTGTAACACGCTTGCTAGGAGCAGTGGGCTGTAACCCCCCCCCCCCCCCCCCCCCCCCCCCCCCCCCCCCCCCCCCCCACCCACTTTTTTTCCCTAATGGGGCCACAGAACCCACTCTGATAAATATATTCAATTTTGAATTGCTGATTTGAGAACAAATTATGTTGTGTTGGATTATACAACTTGGCTGTTGTATCTGCTTCTTATGGCCTAGTCTATGTGCTTTCTACAAAAGGTTTTTCTTGCACATTTGATTTGCTCAGCCTTGAACTTTCCTCAGCCTATCTATAAGGCATAAGCAGAACTGAAATCAGAATTGTACCCTTCAAAGCTTGCATGTTTAACACACTGAAAATTGATCAGAGTTTTTCTGTGCACAGGAGGATTGAGTGAACAGCTGAACAGGTCCTTTCAGAATTAGACTTCATGGGAGAAGCAAAGTTGCAAGATTGTCCGACTGAATGAAAAATTGTATGATAAAAACACCCACACTTTTATAGAGCAATCCACACTCAGTGAATGATGTGGTCTCGGGATAGACTGCCAACTATACATAATAGATTACATTCTAACAGTGACAGACAGAGAAAAAGTAATAGATTACATTCTAACAAGTGTAAGACAGAGAAAAGTAATAGATTACATTCTAACAAGTGTAAGACAGAGAAAAAGTAACAGATTACATTCTAACAAGTGTAAGACAGAGAAAAAGTAATAGATTACATTCTCACAAGTGTAAGACAGAGAAAAAGTAACAGATTACATTCTAACAAGTGTAAGACAGAGAAAAAGTAATAGATTACATTCTCACAAGTGTAAGACAGAGAAAAAGTAACAGATTACATTCTAACAAGTGTAAGACAGAGAAAAAGTAATAGATTACATTCTAACAAGTGTAAGACAGAGAAAAAGTAACATATTACATTCTAACAAGTGTAAGACAGAGAAAAAGTAATAGATTACATTCTAACAAGTGTAAGACAGAGAAACAGTAATAAATTACAGTGTAAGAAATTATAAATACGACATTCTTCTTCTACCATCAGATAGAATTAGAACAGAAGAACCACAAGTTGAGTTAACACTTGCTCTTGTTGATTAGTTTCTCCAACTCTGTCTAAGTATGGATTTGTGTTATTAGATTCATTTTTTTTTTTTACCTTGCAGCATTTGAGAAATCGATTGTGAAATGGATAGCTGACAGTGAAGTCCCTGCTTGCTTGAACTGCTTATGTTCATTTGGGTTGCTGACTCGTAGACATCACTGCAGATTGTGTGGTGGTGTCATGTGTGATAAATGCTCTCAGTTTATGTCACTATCGTTTGCACGTAAGTCATTTCTTTAGTTATTTTTGTAGTCATGTCGGTCTGATGCAGTGGACTTGATGTTTGCATGGTTGAGGCTTGTCTATTCAGTCAGCTTGATGTTTGCATGGTTGAGGCCTGTCTGTTCGGTCGGCTTGATGTTTGCATGGTTGAGGCCTGTCTGTTCGGTCGGCTTGATGTTTGCATGGTTGAGGCTTGTCTATTCAGTCAGCTTGATGTTTGCATGGTTGAGGCTTGTCTGTTCAGTCAGCTTGATGTTTGCATGGTTGAGGCTTGTCTATTCAGTCAGCTTGATGTTTGCATGGTTGAGGCCTGTCCATGCAGCTGGCTTGACGTTTTGCATGGTTTAGGCCTGTCCATTCAGTCAGCTTGATGTTTGAGGCCTGACCATTCAGTCAGCTTGATGTTTGCATGGTTGAGGCTTGTCTGTTCAGTCAGCTTGATGTTTGCATAGTTGAGGCTTGTCTGTTCAGTCAGCTTGATGTTTGCATGGTTGAGTCTTGTCTGTTCAGTCGGCTTGATGTTTGCATAGTTGAGGCTTGTCTATTCAGTCAGCTTGATGTTTGCATGGTTGAGGCTTGTCTGTTCAGTCGGCTCGATGTTTGCATGGTTGAGGCTTGTCTATTCATTCGGCTTGATGTTTGCATAGTTGAGGCATGTCTATTTAGTCGGCTTGATGTTTGCATGGTTGAGGCTTGTCCATTCATTCGGCTTGATGTTTGCATGGTTGAGGCATGTCTATTCAGTCGGCTTGATGTTTGCATGGTTGAGGCTTGTCTATTCATTCGGCTTATTGTTTGCATGGTTGAGGCTTGTCTATTCAGTCAGCTTGATGTTTGCATGGTTGAGGCATGTCTATTCATTCAGCTTGATGTTTACATGGTTGAGGCTTGTCTATTCATTCGGCTTGTTGTATACATGGTTGAGGCATGTCTATTTAGTCGGCTTGATGTTTGCATGGTTGAGGCTTGTCCATTCATTCGGCTTGATGTTTGCATGGTTGAGGCATGTCTATTCAGTCGGCTTGATGTTTGCATGGTTGAGGCTTGTCTATTCATTCGGCTTGTTGTTTACATGGTTGAGGCTTGTCTATTCATTCGGCTTGATGTTTACATGGTTGAGGCTTGTCTATTCATTCGGCTTGTTGTTTACATGGTTGAGGCTTGTCTATTCATTCGGCTTGTTGTTTGCATGGTTGAGGCATGTCTATTCATTCAGCTTGATGTTTACATGGTTGAGGCTTGTCTATTCATTCGGCTTGTTGTTTACATGGTTGAGGCTTGTCTATTCATTCGGCTTGATGTTTGCATAGTTGAGGCATGTCTATTTAGTCAGCTTGATGTTTGCATGGTTGAGGCCAGTCCATTCATTCGGCTTGATGTTTACATGGTTGAGACATGTCTATTTAGTCGGCTTGATGTTTGCATGGTTGAGGCTTGTCCATTCATTCGGCTTGATGTTTGCATGGTTGAGGCATGTCTATTCAGTCGGCTTGATGTTTGCATGGTTGAGGCTTGTCTATTCATCCGGCTTGTTGTTTGCATGGTTGAGGCTTGTCTATTCAGTCAGCTTTGATGTTTGCATGGTTGAGGCATGTCTATTCATTCAGCTTGATGTTTACATGGTTGAGGCTTGTCTATTCATTCGGCTTGTTGTATACATGGTTGAGGCATGTCTATTTAGTCGGCTTGATGTTTGCATGGTTGAGGCTTGTCCATTCATTCGGCTTGATGTTTGCATGGTTGAGGCATGTCTATTCAGTCGGCTTGATGTTTGCATGGTTGAGGCTTGTCTATTCATTCGGCTTGTTGTTTGCATGGTTGAGGCTTGTCTATTCAGTCAGCTTGATGTTTGCATGGTTGAGGCATGTCTATTCATTCAGCTTGATGTTTACATGGTTGAGGCTTGTCTATTCATTCGGCTTGTTGTTTACATGGTTGAGGCATGTCTATTTAGTTGGCTTGATGTTTGCATGGTTCCGGCTTGTCTGTTCAGTCGGCTTGATGTTTGTATGGTTGAGGCTTGTCTGTTCGGTCGGCTTGATGTTTGCATGGTTGAGGCTTGTCTGTTCATTCAGCTTGATGTTTACATGGTTGAGGCATGTCTTTTCATTCGGCTTGATGTTTACATGGTTGAGGCATGTCTATTTAGTCGGCTTGATGTTTGCATGGTTGAGGCTTGTCTATTCAGTCGGCTTGATGTTTACATGGTTGAGGCATGTCTATTCAGTCAGCTTGATGTTTACATGGTTGAGGCATGTCTATTCATTCGGCTTGATGTTTACATGGTTGAGGCATGTCTATTTAGTCGACTTGATGTTTACATGGTTGAGGCTTGTCTAATTATTCGGCTTGATGTTTACATGGTTGAGGCATGTCTATTTAGTCAGCTTGATGTTTACATGGTTGAGGCTTGTCTATTCATTCGGCTTGATGTTTACATGGTTGATATATGTGTGCATGAGTATGCGTGCATGCATATTTGTGCTCTTGTATGCATGCCTGCATTTGCCATTGATTCTTTTATGTGGTGACTTTAAATTCATAGTATGAATATGCAGGGCCGTCTTAACAGCATTTTGGCCCCTGGGCAAACAAGTGTGCCCTTAAGACAGCCACTCACAGAAATGAAATGTAAATGTTTGATTATACTATAGATATATTTATTTTATTGGCACTTCCACAAAACTGGTGTTAAAATTTAACATAGATTAGGTGGCACAATATACAATTTTTAGAAACTTTTTCTTGAAACAAGCATTTGAGCTTTTTTTTGTAATTGCTTTATTAATCACTTGAAGTCAGTGATCCTCGTCACATGAGTGAAAGAAAGTTATTTTTTAAAAGTTTCAGTCTTGGAAAGTTGGCATCATTCACATGGACAATTGAGTGCAATTTTAACATTTGGGAAAATAGATTTCAAATTGTCCATATTATTTTTCTGCACTTTGCAGGGAAAGTCTCAGTTTTCTTTATAAGCTATGTAGTGCTTGAGATATTTACATTAAGTTAAATGCTCATAATTATTAAGATCTTTGTGATACTTATTAGCCAAATGTTCATACTTGTTCTTTAGTTCATTGAAGCAATGGTTTTTCAATACATGAAAAAAGTCTCTGCATGTATTGGTTGTTCAAAGATTAGCCCCCAGAGTAGGGAGGAAGGTTTCCACCTTGAACTTTCCAGTTTTACTGAGACGTACCTCTTCTGGCAACTCTGTTGATCCATCATATCTACCAAGGCAGACTTTGTTGTTGCTCCCATTGTATCCCATCACTGTAATCTGTTTCTGGACACAAACTCCTCGCTTTAAAATCATATTGACTAAATTGGTCCCTAGTTTCCTGGACATAGGTTTTCAAAGACTCCAGAATCAGGTAATCTCCAGAATCAGGTAATCTCCAGAATCAGGTAATCTCCAGAATCAGGTAATCTCCAGAATCAGGTAATCTCCAGAATCAGGTAATCTCCAGAATCAGGTAATCTCCAGAATCAGGTAATCTCCAGAATCAGGTAATCTCCAGAATCAGGTAATCTCCAGAATCAGGTAATCTCCAGAATCAGGTAATCTCCAGAATCAGGTAATCTCCAGAATCAGGTAATCTCCAGAATCAGGTAATCTCCAGAATCAGGTAATCTCCAGAATCAGGTAATCGGGTAAATGTAGTTTCAAAATTCATGGTAAACTGGCCATTCTGTAAATCATTGGTTCTCGTCCTTCCTAAAGCGGGCACCCTTTAATACAGTTCCTCATGTTGTGGCGACTTCCCAACTATACAATTATTTTTGTTACTACTTCATAACTTCAGTGACTATGTGTTTAGCGATGGTCTTTGGTGACGCCTGTGAAAAAGTCATTTGACCAATAAAAAGGGTCGCGACCTATAGGTTGAGAACTGCTGCTGAAGACGTTCAGTTCCAGTGCTAATTAAATGCTCACAAAATGTCTATCACTGTCCTTTATCTGCAGCTCACAGTGTCCCACCATGCACTCTGCTCAGTTCCTTGGCATTGAAACTAGTGTGAAGTGACAACAAGGATATTCACATTTTATGATTGGAGGCCATTGCTTGTTTTATTCATTCTGTCTAGCTTACCATTTCAAAGAGCTTTGACTGTACCTCTCTCCATGTATTCACTAGCTATTCATTGTCAGCTAACAGAGAATCTAAGGCATGTTTAATTTGCTCAAAACACCCATACAGAGGATGTTTTATTTGCTCAAAACACCCATACAGAGCATGTTTTATTTGCTCAAAACACCCATACAGAGGATGTTTTATTTGCTCAAAACACCCATACAGGGCATGTTATTTGCTCAAAACACCCATACAGAAGATGTTTTATTTGCTCAAAACACCCATACAGGGCATGTTTTATTTGCTCAAAACACCCATACAGGGCATGTTTTATTTGCTCAAAACACCCATACAGGGCATGTTTTATTTGCTCAAAACACCAATACAGAGCATGTTTTATTTGCTCAAAACACCCATACAGGGCATGTTTTATTTGCTCAAAACACCCATACAGAGCATGTTATTTGCTCAAAACACCCATACAGAGGATGTTTAATTTGCTCAAAACACCCATACAGGGCATGTTTTATTTGCTCAAAACACCCATACAGAGCATGTTATTTGCTCAAAACACCCATACAGGGCATGTTTTATTTGCTTAAAACACCCATACAGAGGATGTTATTTGCTCAAAACACCCATACAGAGAATGTTTTATTTGCTCAAAACACCCATACAGAGCATGTTATTTGCTCAAAACACCCATACAGAGGATGTTTTATTTGCTCAAAACACCCATACAGGGCATGTTTTATTTGCTCAAAACACCCATACAGGGCATGTTTTATTTGCTCAAAACACCCATACAGAGGATGTTTAATTTGCTTAAAACACCCATACAGAGCATGTTATTTGCTCAAAACACCCATACAGAGCATGTTTTATTTGCTTAAAACACCCATACAGAGGATGTTTAATTTGCTCAAAACACCCATACAGAGCATGTTATTTGCTCAAAACACCCATACAGAGAATGTTTTATTTGCTTAAAACACCCATACAGAGGATGTTTAATTTGCTCAAAACACCCATACAGGGCATGTTTTATTTGCTCAAAACTCCCATACAGAGCATGTTTTATTTGCTCAAAACACCCATACAGAGCATGTTTAATTTGCTCAAAACACCCATACAGAGCATGTTTAATTTGCTCAAAACATCCATCCAGAGCATGTTTTATTTGCTCAAAACACCCATACAGAGCATGTTTTATTTGCTCAAAACACCCATACAGGGCATGTTTTATTTGCTCAAAACACCCATACAGAGCATGTTTTATTTGCTCAAAACACCCATACAGGGCATGTTTTATTTGCTCAAAACACCCATACAGAGCATGTTTTATTTGCTCAAAACACCCATACAGGGCATGTTTTATTTGCTCAAAACACCCATACAGGGCATGTTTTATTTGCTCAAAACACCCATACAGAGCATGTTTTATTTGCTCAAAACACCCATACAGGGCATGTTATATTTGCTCAAAACACCAATACAGAGCATGTTTTATTTGCTCAAAACACCCATACAGGGCATGTTTTATTTGCTCAAAACACACATACAGAGCATGTTTTATTTGCTCAAAACACCCATATAGAGCATGTTTTATTTGCTCAAAACACCCATACAGGGCATGTTTTATTTGCTCAAAACACCCATACAGAGCATGTTTTATTTGCTCAAAACACCCATACAGAGCATGTTTTATTTGCTCAAAACACCCATACAGAGCATGTTTTATTTGCTCAAAACACCCATACAGAGCATGTTTTATTTGCTCAAAACACCCATACAGGGCATGTTTTATTTGCTCAAAACACCCATACAGGGCATGTTTTATTTGCTCAAAACACCCATACAGAGCATGTTTTATTTGCTCAAAACACCCATACAGGGCATGTTTTATTTGCTCAAAACACCCATACAGAGCATGTTTTATTTGCTCAAAACACCCATACAGAGCATGTTTTATTTGCTCAAAACACCCATACAGGGCATGTTATTTGCTCAAAACACCCATACAGAGCATGTTTTATTTGCTCAAAACACCCATACAGAGCATTCACAGCATCAGATTATGCTGAAAATCCTGTGTTAGATGCTTGGCCACACAATCTGTTGCTAAAGATCATGTCAGTACCATCCACCAATGGCTCGAACCAGCAACTAAAAAAATGACAACTGATGCTGAACAAAGTCAAAGAATGTTACAAACTGTACTTCCATCAAGTTCAGGGCAGGGGACATGGATCAATCCATGTTTGCTATCCACTATATTGTCCAGGCATAAATCGAGGCGTTGATCGTAGGAGTTTTTTTCTAATTAAGAAAATCAACAAAAATGTCTGTTAAATTCTTTGCTGCATGAGAAAAGATGGGACGATCAACACCAAAATATTCCAAATCTGAGAGAGAGAGGGATAGAACGGTGGGGGTTGGAGTGAGGGGGGGGGGGGGGGGGATATATATATTTAAATTATATACTACACAGAATAAATGTAGACATCAAACATATTTTTTCAAATGTATGGTTTGTCCACTTGACATAGAACACATTAGCATAGGGCCGCTAGGCTTGTTGGGCCCCTAGACAAGTGGGTCCATGCATTAAGGCGGCCCTGTAAAGTATGTTCACTTATGCTGTTGCTGTGTAAAAGGTGAGTGGTTGCAAGGGCTGAATGTAAGATCTGTTTGCTTGCTTTGTGACACTTGAACAATCCAGTCTGTTGCTCTCTACCAACCAGGTAGAAGTATTGTTGAGAGGCGGAGACATTATGTTACAAGTCCTATTCAGTGTATTTAAACTAAAGGTATTTAGTATGATATTGAGGACTATAGGAAACTGATTTTAACTCTTTGAGTTCCAGGGGGTTTAGCATCACAGGCCCAAGGGGTAGTAGATTGATGTAAAATCAGCGCATCTTGCGTTCATTGGGCTTCTAGGTAGGAATGTATGAACGTATGATGCGTTCCTTGGGACTCTAAGAGTTAATATTGTAATGTAACATCTCACAGAGTTGATTAATTCCTTATATTTCCATCATTGTTCTTTTGCCTTATATTATTATTCTACCCTGCACCTATCTGTGGTTGGTAGATGAGTCAAACATCAGTCACATGAAGAATTGGTTATTTACATACAGATCAAAATTATGTGATTTTGGGTTTAAAAAAGTAAAAAATTATTGGATTTTTTGACTAAATGAATGTATGTGTCATTAACCATAATCATATGCTGTATCCACAGTACTCTCCTACCGCAGTCCTAAAAACCATTAAAAAGGTGTTTTAAAACAACAGCAGCCACACACAAAAAAGTCCACCGCAGAAGTGGAATCCTAGTACTTGAGAATCATAAAGTTGTTGAACTTTATTTAACCTTTAAATGATGGATTTTCCCCCAGGAAACATTTGCTGACCACAAAGTGCCTTAAAATATATATACACCACTAAGGGCCAGTTTAGTGGGGCTGACAAAATGATAGGTAAAATAAAGTGCTAATAGTGTGTAGTGCCAGAAAAAAAAACTCCTCTAAACTGCAGAGCCACACTAGTTTTAAAAGAATTCACAATTTGGCCTACAGTCACATTGTTCACAATGGCACCTGTTCACCTTTCCAGATGATAGTTTTGTCTTCCTACAGTGGTGAAATATGGCAACCACAGTGCATGTGGATGGCAAGTATGGCTAGCAAGACCTGCTCATGTTAAGACAAGTGCTCCACAGTTTACAGCATGACATTTCAGTATCATTCATTGTTACCATTGCCTATATTTAACATGCTTCTTCTCAGACGCACATCTCCTCGTGCTATCTACTATCATTTTTCTTTTTTTTGGTTCATTTTTAATCAGCGTTTTTTTCCTGGTTTTCCCCACTCCATGCAACACAGTCTGTGGCATCTTTTTCTCATAATCCACCTCGATACCTGTATCATTTATGTCTTGGTTGCATAAGACCTAAAGCTACTAACAGCAGTCAGATAGGAGCCACATATGCAGTAGAATATAAGCTACTTAATGACATGCTGAGAATTCAGACAATTGATTTCCACAGAAAAATTGGTGAACCCTGCCCACATTTTTAGTGGAGAGGCATTTATCAAACGAACTAACAGCAATAGCAGCCTGAATTCTCTAGGCAAGTCTGGTGAAGATGCCCTGATGAGAGTGTGTCAAATGTGCCGGAGACTGCTGCAGAGGCGGGATCATATGACAGAGCTGCGAAACAGCAAACCTCCAATAGTACAGGTTTATGATGTAAGTCTTCTTCTTTCTTTTCTTTTTAGCGTTCAGTAGCTATAAACATAGAGAGACAATTATAGTTGGACTTTGGGTGTTGTTTGCATATCCATTTTACAGATGTGGTTAGTTAATGCTGACTGATGATTGCTGGCTTCTCAAGCAGAGGTACTTCAACGTCAAAAGAGGCATCACTTATGAGTCGCCTTTTACGACATACTTTTTAGTGGGGCAGTGGGTCTGCTTTCACTTCCCCCTCCCTCATCCCTGAAACGGGGCTTGGAAACCCACACAGGGACTGATGTCAGTAAACCGCTTGTGGTCCTGTATGTACTAGTTCTTGATGTGCTGTTTAGTCAACTTGGTGAGTCTTCTAGAGTGCGTAGTGGTTAGTCTGTATGTACTAGTTCTTGATGTGCTGTTTAGTCAACTTGGTGAGTCTTCTAGAGTGCGTAGTGGTTAGTCTGTATGTACTAGTTCTTGATGTGCTGTTTAGTCAACTTGGTGAGTCTTCTAGAGTGCGTAGTGGTTAGTCTGTATGTACTAGTTCTTGATGTGCTGTTTAGTCAACTTGGTGAGTCTAGAGTGCGTAGTGGTTAGTCTGTATGTACTAGTTCTTGATGTGCTGTTTAGTCAACTTGGTGAGTCTAGAGTGCGTAGTGGTTAGTCTGTATGTACTAGTACTTGTTCTTTATGTGCTGTTTAGTCAACTTGGTGAGTCTAGAGTGCGTAGTGGTTAGTCTGTATGTACTAGTTCTTGATGTGCTGTTCAGTCCACTTGGTGAGTCTTCTAGAGTGCGTAGTGGTTAGTCTGTATGTACTAGTACTTGTTCTTTATGTGCTGTTTAGTCAACTTGGTGAGTCTTCTAGAGTGCGTAGTGGTTAGTCTGTATGTACTAGTACTAGTTCTTTATGTGCTGTTTAGTCAACTTGGTGAGTCTTCTAGAGTGCGTAGTGGTTAGTCTGTATGTACTAGTTCTTTATGTGCTGTTTAGTCAACTTGGTGAGTCTTCTAGAGTGCGTAGTGGTTAGTCTGTATGTACTAGTTCTTTATGTGCTGTTTAGTCAACTTGGTGAGTCTTCTAGAGTGCGTAGTGGTTAGTCTGTATGTACTAGTTCTTTATGTGCTGTTTAGTCAACTTGGTGAGTCTTCTAGAGTGCGTAGTGGTTAGTCTGTATGTACTAGTTCTTTATGTGCTGTTTAGTCCACTTGGTGAGTCTTCTAGAGTGCGTAGTGGTTAGTCTGTATGTACTAGTTCTTTATGTGCTGTTTAGTCAACTTGGTGAGTCTAGAGTGCGTAGTGGTTAGTCTGTATGTACTAGTTCTTGATGTGCTGTTTAGTCAACTTGGTGAGTCTTCTAGAGTGCGTAGTGGTTAGTCTGTATGTACTAGTACTTGTTCTTTATGTGCTGTTTAGTCAACTTGGTGAGTCTTCTAGAGTGCGTAGTGGTTAGTCTGTATGTACTAGTACTAGTTCTTGATGTGCTGTTTAGTAAACTTGGTGAGTCTTCTAGAGTGCGTAGTGGTTAGTCTGTATGTACTAGTTCTTTATGTGCTGTTTAGTCAACTTGGTGAGTCTAGAGTGCGTAGTGGTTAGTCTGTATGTACTAGTTCTTGATGTGCTGTTTAGTCAACTTGGTGAGTCTAGAGTGCGTAGTGGTTAGTCTGTATGTACTAGTTCTTGATGTGCTGTTTAGTCAACTTGGTGAGTCTTCTAGAGTGCGTAGTGGTTAGTCTGTATGTACTAGTACTTGTTCTTTATGTGCTGTTTAGTCAACTTGGTGAGTCTTCTAGAGTGCGTAGTGGTTAGTCTGTATGTACTAGTACTAGTTCTTGATGTGCTGTTTAGTAAACTTGGTGAGTCTTCTAGAGTGCGTAGTGGTTAGTCTGTATGTACTAGTTCTTTATGTGCTGTTTAGTCAGCTTGGTGAGTCTAGAGTGCGTAGTGGTTAGTCTGTATGTACTAGTTCTTGATGTGCTGTTTAGTCAACTTGGTGAGTCTTCTAGAGTGCGTAGTGGTTAGTCTGTATGTACTAGTACTTGTTCTTTATGTGCTGTTTAGTCAACTTGGTGAGTCTTCTAGAGTGCGTAGTGGTTAGTCTGTATGTACTAGTACTTGTTCTTTATGTGCTGTTTAGTCAACTTGGTGAGTCTTCTAGAGTGCGTAGTGGTTAGTCTGTATGTACTAGTACTTGTTCTTTATGTGCTGTTTAGTCAACTTGGTGAGTCTTCTAGAGTGCGTAGTGGTTAGTCTGTATGTACTAGTACTTGTTCTTTATGTGCTGTTTAGTCAACTTGGTGAGTCTTCTAGAGTGCGTAGTGGTTAGTCTGTATGTACTAGTACTAGTTCTTGATGTGCTGTTTAGTCAACTTGGTGAGTCTTCTAGAGTGAGTAGTGGTTAGTCTGTATGTACTAGTTCTTTATGTGCTGTTTAGTCAACTTGGTGAGTCTAGAGTGCGTAGTGGTTAGTCTGTATGTACTAGTTCTTGATGTGCTGTTTAGTCAACTTGGTGAGTCTAGAGTGCGTAGTGGTTAGTCTGTATGTACTAGTACTTGTTCTTTATGTGCTGTTTAGTAAACTTGGTGAGTCTAGAGTGCATAGTGGTGTCTGTATGTACTAGTACTTGTTCTTTATGTACTGTTTAGTCAACTTGGTGAGTCTAGAGTGCGTAGTGGTTAGTTAGCCTGAATGCTAAGGTCAGTGGGATTTGAACAACCAAACATGTCTTAATCACACAACTAACGCTGGGGATCAGTGAGGGGGGGGGGGGACTGTCACAGAAAACGGTGGGGAGATCCTTGAGGCACAAATCTGAAACTCCTAATACAACTGTACAATGGCAACAGCAACAATCCGTTTACAGAAAATGCCTAATTCTTCCAGCTGAACAGCACCAGGGAGTGAAAAGTACCAAAATGGTGCATTACAGGTTCAGTGCTGAACTTGTGACGGAATATGAATGTATGTAAATGAACTCATCAAAATGCAGTATAAAGCAAATCACTGCAAACATCCTCACACTCACTCTAGTTCAAGAATGAGACTCCATATCTAATCACAGCTAATGTTACCTCAAGACACCTCCATTGGTCATCGCCTCCACCTCAGAGATCAGTAATGGTTTTTTCACAAATTCTAATATGTAGCTGAAAATACAGATGAGCCAGAATAGGTCAACACTTCTAAAGTTCAGCAGAATGCTGATTCCAGTTCTCATGCAGTCTTTTGAGAACCATGGCTCAGGAAGTTAACGGGTTACATCCCATCATATGAGTTGACTTCACTGTGGGATCCCGGGGTAAGTCCTCCACTAGGAATGAACACTTGCCTCATGTGTTTAAGCCATTCAGCCCTTGATGTATAATATGGTTAACATCATAACATCCCAGAACATATCCTAGTACCCAGGTTTACACTTTTTGACCTGCAAATCTGTTTTATTATATTATACATATATATATATACATATATATATAAAATCAATGGGAAATAATGTCTTTATTGCCACAGAAAATGAAAATGTGCATCATGGAAGCAGAACAGATTCTTCCAGGCTACATGAACATGGTGGAGTCTTTGAGGTATGCTGCTCACTTTCATTGATTGCTGGTCATGTTTTGTGGCTGTTAGCTTTTGGTTTTGCATTTAGCAGTCTGTGGGATTTATTGTGCATGGGTGCTTCCACAAGACTTCAAGAGGCACGATGTAAGTTCTTGTTGGGACCCAAACAAACATGTTTACAGATGTGAAGCGATGAGAGGATCAGCTTTCTTGCAGTTGATGTTAATCTCTGTGGTCTGACCTCTCCTGAGAGTGGCTGATTGCCCGATGAGAGCATCTAGATAGGATAGAGCATAAACTTGGGATTTCTGAAATATCTGCACTAGCACAGCAGATGACACAGTCGGAAAGTAAACTACATACCTCCGAGTGAAAGACAAGTGGATTAGATTATCACCATGGATGCCAAAATGTATGTATGTCAGAAACACACAGAAGAAGAAGCAATAGCAGCAGCAGAATTATATTTGTATGACTGTAGGGAACACTTGCAGTATATAGTATTAAACTGGTGATCCACATTAAAGTAGCAGTTGATTGATTGAGTACCATTTGTGTGAATGTCTTGTGTGTCTGTAGCCAGGGAGAAACTGTGTACAGCTACATGCAAGCCCAGATCCAGAGAAGCAAGCTAGTCAAGCTGTATGAAGTCATTGATCAACTCAGGCATGTACTCTTGTTTGTCTACACTTGGACAATATTCATCTATATCACCTGTTGTCTGCTGCTGCATAATACTCATTTTCTGCTTCTTCTTCTTCTCCTCCACCATCTCCTTCTCCTGTTATTGTTTGTTGTTCTTTTTTTTTCTTCTTCTTTTTCTTCTCTTCCTTCTTATTTTTTGTTCTTATTTTTTGTTTCTTCTTCTTCTTCGTTTTTGTTTCTTCTTCACCTCCTCCTACTTCTTTTATATTTCATATTCCTTGTTCTCACTGTTCTTCTCATCCTTCTTCACTTATTATATTTTTTTTCTCTTTCTGCATCTTCTTCTGCTCATACTTCTCCGTTTATTCTTCCTCCATCTCTTTAATTACTGGTGAAAGTGCTAACATTTCTACAACCCTTGCTGTACTACCATATAATTTCATGTTGTTACACCATCTTTCCATTTAATTCTGTTCCTTTTCATTGTTTAATCCTGACAATACATACAGAAGTATATTCTTCTTATTGCTTGATTTTCCAAAGAGAAAAATAGACAATATGTTATAGGGCTTCACGTAAGGAATTTATACCTAATTATTTGTGGCTTGTGAACTGAGTGTGATCGGTTTATTTATAGTGCTGTTGCCTGGTCTATGTCCAGTTTTTTTTTTCCCATTTGGCTTCTAGTCACCTATTTAGGGGTTTACAGAATAGACACTTTCTGCCTAAAACGCTACTGTATTTTTTGCTGAAATTTGATGTATTGGGCCAAAGGACACAGATATTGCAGCCTAGCTGAAAACTGCAGTGCAATCGACTCCCTTTTATGGGTGAATGCAGAAAAAGAAGAAGAAGAATTTCTGTATAAGTTGTTGGCAGTGTCTACTATGTGGATATGATTTAGTTTTCCATGATGTGAATGATGGCACCAGGACATACAACTTTTGGTGTCTGTCTCTGTCTAAAATATTCATGAATGAATCTGTCTAAAGTATTAATGAATGATGGCACCAGGACATACAACTTTTGGTGTCTTTCTCTGTCTAAAATATTCATGAATGAATCTGTCTAAAGTATTAATGAATGATGGCACCAGAACATACAGCTCTTGGTGTCTGTCTCTGTCTAAAGTATTAATGAATGATGGCACCAGGACATACAACTTTTGGTGTCTGTGTCTGTGTAAAGTATTAATGAATGATGGCACCAGCACATACAACTTTTGGTGTCTGTCTCTGTCTAAAGTATTAATGAATGATGGCACCAGCACATACAACTTTTGGTGTCTGTGTCTGTCTAAAGTATTAATGAATGATGGCACCAGGACATACATCTTTTGGTGTCTGTCTCTGTGTAAAGTAATAATGAATGATGGCACCAGGACATACAACTCTTGGTGTCTGTCTCTGTCTAAAGTATTAATGAATGATGGCACCAGCAGATACAACTTTTGGTGTCTGTCTCTGTCTAAAGTATTATTAGATTTCTTCCTAGCAAATAATTAGTTTGTTGAAAGGCACGATTTACTAGGGGAAATGAGCTATACATCAAAACCATGCCTGTGATCATTGAGACCAGTTCTGTTCAAATAAAGGAGAAGAATCATGGAGAAATATGTGACTATAAACTGTTATGTATTGCCCATTATATGTCTGTTCTGTTTGTCTTCATTGTTACAGTGAACGAATAAACTAACTTTATTTGTAAGGTGCTATAATTTGGGCACACAAACCCATCTTACAGTCATCCCTTCCAACCACTCATTCTTCGCACAGGCTTTCTGTTCTATTTATATAGCATGTTAACCAGGAATTGTGGTTGGTGGGCACAATATAAACAATTTACGTTATGCTGATGACACAGTCTTGATAGCAACAAGTCAGAAAGAACTACAGGAAATGATAGACATTGTGGTGTTAGAAAGTGGAAGAATGGGCCTCAGTTTGAATAATGGGAAGACAGAAGTAATGGTATTATTAAAGAAACAAATTATTCCTAAATGTGTAATAAAAGTTGATGGTGTTATTTTAGGACAAGAACAGAAATTTAAGTATATGGGCACATGGATAACATCAGATGGAAGATGCATAACTGATATAAGAAACAGAATAGGACAGACAAGAACTGCATTTTATAAAATGAAAAACATCTCGTGCAATATATCCTTGTCATTGAGAGTTAGAAAAAGAATTCTTGCTTGCTACATACATCCAGTTTTAACATATGGCTGTGAATCCTGGACAATCGGTAGGCAGGCCAAACAATTTCTGGAGGCCTCGGAGATGTGGTTTTACAGAAGAATGCTTATAATACCTTGGACAGCCAAAAAGAGCAACCAAGAGGTTTTGAAAGAGGCGGAAGCCCGAAGACAACTTATCACAGGCATCAGAAGGAGACAGTCATCGTTTTTCGGCCATGTTATGAGAAGAGGGAAAATAGAACCTGTTGTGACCACTGGAAAGATATGTGGAAGGAGAGATAGAGGAAGACAACGAGAGAAGATGCTTGACAGTCTTGTTGCATGGCATGGAGGTGTGTCGGCACACAAACTGATACATGCTGCAGGAGATCGCAGATTATGGAGAGGCATGATCGCCCATGCCAGTCGACAAGGCACCTGATGATGATGATGATGATGTTAACCACGTACAGCAGTACATGGTATATCAGTATTCAAATATCATATACAGAATCATGGATGACAAAAACACATGTTCATATATTGATGCTTTTGAGGCTAGTGTGTCAGCTCTTTTTTTTTCTCCTACTCTTTCATCAGGAGTGGCAGTAGTATAATGGCTAGGTGCTCACCTGCCAGCCTAAAGGTATTGGGGTCCAATCTGCATGGAGCTGGATGTTTTTGTTTTTGTGGTTTTTAAATAAATTGTGTAAATGATTGAGGTTAAGCTCCAGGACCAGCCAGCTGATAATAAGCACCAGGTAATACCATGAGAAGTAAAGGTGGCTAGTGTGATCTATGGCCACCAAGTGATGATTGGTCCATGCAAGTATGAATGTAGCATCATCTTCCTGATGTGCCCATGGTGTTAACAAGGGTCTTTAAACACCTGCATGACCTGTAAGATAAAAACTTGTTTGTATATTGACCACATTTGAAGTGTTTGAATCACATGAACTTTCCCATCAACAGGCACTGCCAACAGAGGAAGAGTACAACCAACTGCGCCAGGCCCGGGCTGCAGAGATCCAGAGAAAGATTGCGGCAGAAAGGCAAGCGGCTTTGGAAGCTCAGGAGAGAGAGCGACAGGAAAGAGAAAAACTAGATAAGGAACCCTCCAAAGAGGCTAGTTCACACCATGAAACTGCTCAAAAACCTGGAAATAAACGAGCAGCATCTGAAGGTCAGCCAAAGAAAGTGCTTGGCGTCAAAATTGCGTTTAATACAAGTCAGAAAAGTGACAGCAGAAACAGCCCGGATGTCACTGTCATCAGTGGATGGAAGCCAGCGGATGAAACAATCACTGTTAGCCAAGCCAGTGATCCGGTGGTGCAGCAAATGGAGATTATCAAGAGCTATATCCTACAAGCCAGACAGGCAAATCGTCTGGATGAGGTTGCCATGTTGGAGCAGAACTTACGAGATCTTCACGCTGAGTACTTGCGACAGAAGCAGCGGCAGAAGGAAAGCCTGTCTAGTTAATTTAAACAGTATGTTTTATTTTCTTTGTAGATGTTTAAAACAAGTCTTCCCAAGTATTTTTGTCTTTTTTGGTTTGGATGTAAGAGGTGTCCTCATATTAAGTCTTGCATAAGCTGCTTTCAGATGAAACATTCTCTTATGTAATGTCATTTTCAATGATTGTTAGCAAGAGGGTTATCATTGTTGCTGCCTGTTTACCACATTCTAGGGCAGTGGCGGAAAAAGAGGTACTTGACTCTGAAGATTTATGGTCACATGGCTAGTTCATTCGCCACGAATAGTTTCATCGCCCAGCTTCTTAGTTGAGTGTATGGTGTGACACTGTGAGCTACATGTGTTTTTTTGTTGGCACAGAAGCGGAGCAACTATGGGGTGACCCGTTTGCTATGAAGCTGAAACTAGGATTACCAGATTGCCACGAAATGTGCAGGTTTGGATAATTATTTTTTCCTGGACAGAAAAACCCTCCACCTCCTTACTGATGATTTAAACTTGAGCCTCGCGCCCTAACTGTTTCACCAGTTGCTGCTAAAGAAAGAAAATACTGAAGTATTGTGTATGTCAAACATGCTGGAGAGATAGAAGGAATTTAGTTGTTAGTGTCAGGCATATTTTTATAGGAGTGAAAAAGGTACCGTTGTTATTTGTGTTAGTGTGCCCACACTTTCGTTAACATGTAAGGAGGTCTTTGCCACCTGCTCCCAGCCAGATCTAGTTTTTGGTGCAGCCGCGAGATATTCTCAAGAAAGAAGTCCCTAAAGCTATTAAAACTATAGCACATATAAAAGAAAACAACAACACTCAATTGCAAAATGGGGAACTCTAATAACATGTTCACACTGCAAACACACCCATGGTAGCTTAGATATGTGCGATAAAAATCCAAATTACATATCTACGAAATTGTATCCAAAAACAACAATCTATGGTCACAAGGCATGCCACAAACCTACAGTGCTTCAAATGTGGTGCATTTGGCCATATATGTAGGGACTGCTATGCGAGAAGTATACTAAGAGAGGCTAATATGGCCCTGAATTCCTCAAACAATGAATCAGAAGAAGACTTAATAGCCAACTCAGTCCAAGAGACTGCTGAACTGAAAGAAAACTGCAAGATTGAACTGGGGATTGAAAACTGCAAGATATGCAAAGAATTCCATGAAGATGGGAATATTACTTGCTGACGCCATGTGGTGATTCAAGAAGCACACTCGGCTAGCATGACCAGTGGTTCCTTTGGGCTACTTCAGGGGATTCGCTAACAGTATACCTTCCATAGTAGTTTGAGATACAGGTGCTACACTAATCGGTGTACACAGAGCATTTGTGCAAGAGAAAGACTACAGAGGAGAGCACATTGTGTGCAGAACTTTTGGAGAGAATAAGGAAAGATATAAGGTAGCTCTCGTAAAAATAATTTGCCCTTTCTTCACTGGCATAACAAAGGCAGCAGTACTCCCCGCAGCATGTGCTTGAATACTCATTGGTAATGTACCAAATGTAAATACTAGCAATGAGCTAGCAATCAAGAACTGGGAGGAAAAGTTTCCAAACGTAAATGCTGTCACTAGCCAGCAGATGCAAACAGGAGATGATAAAGCAGAGAGAGATCTGATTGAATCCATCAGCATCCCTAACACAGAAACCCCAGCAGGTGGTCAACCCACATTTTCAGAACTCCAGAGGATGGGCCCCACATTAAAGAAATGTTTCAACCTCATAAATGAAAAGCCTAGAATTTCAAAGTCTGGTAGATGGTCGTTTACACTGAAAAAGGATATCTTGGCAAGGGTGTATAAGAAAGGAACGATGACAGTATCACAAACCATGCTGAACAGTTTTCCACAAAAGTACCAGAAATGGCAAATAATGCTCTGTTTTCTGGTCACCTAGGATTGGCTAAAACAAAATCAAGACTCCTGGGACAGTTCTACTGGCCTGGTTACAGCAAGAAAACAAAAACGTTTTTTCGTACCTGTGAGATTTGTTAACAACAGTCACAGAAAGGAAAACACCCAAAGGCATGTTGTTAGTCCACCCCACTGAGATATATTGTTACACCACCCCAGTGAGACATGTTGTTATTTCACCCCAGTGAGACATGTTGTTAGTCCACCCCAGTGAGACATGTTGTTATTTCACCCCAGTGAGACATGTTGTTAGTATACCCCAGTGAGACATGTTGTTAGTCCACCCCAGTGAGACATGTTGTTAGAATACCCCAGTGAGCCATGTTGTTAGTCCACCCCAGTGAGACATGTTGTTAGTATACCCCAGTGAGACATGTTGTTAGTCCACCCCAGTGAGACATGTTGTTAGTATACCCCAGTGAGACATGTTGTTAGTCCACCCCAGTGAGACATGTTGTTAGTCCACCCCAGTGAGACATGTTGTTAGTATACCCCAGTGAGCCATGTTGTTAGTCCACCCCAGTGAGCCATGTTGTTAGTCCACCCCAGTGAGCCATGTTGTTAGTATACCCCAGTGAGCCATGTTGTTAGTATACCCCAGTGAGACATGTTATTAGTCCACCCCAGTGAGACATGTTGTTAGTATACCCCAGTGAGCCATGTTGTTAGTATACCCCAGTGAGACATGTTGTTAGTCCACCCCAGTGAGACATGTTGTTAGTCCACCCCAGTGAGCCATGTTGTTAGTATACCCCAGTGAGACATGTTGTTAGTCCACCCCGGTGAGCCATGTTGTTAGTCCACCCCAGTGAGACGTGTTGTTAGTCCACCCCAGTGAGAAATGTTGTTAGTCCACCCCGGTGAGAGATGTTGTTAGTCCACCCCAGTGAGCCATGTTGTTAGTCCACCCCAGTGAGCCATGTTGTTAGTCCACCCCAGTGAGACATGTTGTTAGTCCACCCCAGTGAGACATGTTGTTAGTCCACCCCAGTGAGACATGTTGTTAGTCCACCCCAGTGAGACATGTTGTTAGTCCACCCCGGTGAGCCATGTTGTTAGTCCACCCCAGTGAGACGTGTTGTTAGTCCACCCCAGTGAGACATGTTGTTAGTCCACCCCAGTGAGCCATGTTGTTAGTCCACCCCGGTGAGAGATGTTGTTAGTCCACCCCAGTGAGACATGTGGTTAGTCCACCCCAGTGAGACATGTGGTTAGTCCACCCCAGTGAGCCATGTTGATAGTCCACCCCAGTGAGCCATGTTGTTAGTCCACCCCAGTGAGCCATGTTGTTAGTGAGACATGTTGAATAAATCCCCCTCAAGGAGCCATGTTATATAAGTTCACCACAATGAGACATGTTGCTACCAATTGTTGTGGTCTACTGACTTCACCTTCTATCAGAACTATCTAGCTCTGCCTATAAGACAGCAGTGTTGTGTCAACAAGTTGTGTTAGTCTACTGACTTCACCTTCTATCAGAACTATCTAGCTCTGTCTATAAGACAGCAGTGTTGTGTCAACAAGTTGTGTTAGTCTACTGACTTCACCTTCTATCAGAACTATCTAGCTCTGTCTATAAGACAGCAGTGTTGTGTCAACAAGTTGTGTTAGTCTACTGACTTCACCTTCTATCAGAACTATCTAGCTCTGTCTATAAGACAGCAGTGTTGTGTCAACAAGTTGTGTTAGTCTACTGACTTCACCTTCTATCAGAACTATCTAGCTCTGTCTATAAGACAGCAGTGTTGTGTCAACAAGTTGTGTTAGTCTACTGACTTCACCTTCTATCAGAACTATCTAGCTCTGCCTATAAGACAGCAGTGTTGTGTCAACAAGTTGTGTTAGTCTACTGACTTCACCTTCTATCAGAACTATCTAGCTCTGCCTATAAGACAGCAGTGTTGTGTCAACAAGTTGTGTTAGTCTACTGACTTCACCTTCTATCAGAACTATCTAGCTCTGTCTATAAGACAGCAGTGTTGTGTCAACAAGTTGTGTTAGTCTACTGACTTCACCTTCTATCAGAACTATCTAGCTCTGCCTATAAGACAGCAGTGTTGTGTCAACAAGTTGTGTTAGTCTACTGACTTCACCTTCTATCAGAACTATCTAGCTCTGCCTATAAGACAGCAGTGTTGTGTCAACAAGTTGTGTTAGTCACCAGCATGTTGATCAGAAACAGCCTTTAACACCGTGTAAAGCAGTGTTTCATTTATTGACAGGAAAATAAAATCTGTGCTTGACCCTTGATACTTTCTGCTGTCAAAATGCCTTGTATATACACCATAAATTCTGCAGAATACCAAAACTGTTTTGTGTTTGTGTCTTAAGCCCCTACAAAACATTTTAAGATGTTATCAGAATTATCTTTATGTGCTTTTTTTTTTTTCTTCAGCATGTCACTTTCTGTATCTCTCTCTGTATGTCCCTCTCTCTGTGTCTCTCCCTCTCTCTGTGTCTCTCCCTCTCTCTGTGTCTCTCCCTCTCTCTGTGTCTCTCATCATACTACTCCTATCACTGCTCCTTTGTGATGATTTACATGGCTGAGATGATATGACACGATAGAGGTTTTTGTTGTGAATAACTTTGTTGCAATAACTTCTGCAGTGATGTTTTTTTTTTTAAATTATAAATACACATATTAAACCCAGCAAGAAAAATCCTGTAACCAAAAGTTGATTTCCAAATGGTTGTTGACAGCCTAAAAAAGTCAGAGAGCCAAGTAGATGAAGGTCGTAGACAAGATCTTCCATTAGTGTCATGCACGGTTGAGAAGTGTCCTAATTACATTGTTCCCCGTGATATGCCAGGTGTCAGTACTTAGACCTGCTTTCAGCAGACCGTGTCAGTATAACGTATAATTGTTTGTGAATGCCTATATTGCATGTGATTTAGTTAGAGTACACTCATGTACAGTTTCATTTCTATGTTTGAAAGAGGTTGTATTTGGTTTCTTTATTTGACAGAGCTGTGAGAATTGTCGTCAGTGGCCTAGGTTTAGCCCACCATCTTTCTACTGATTGGCTAATTGCTTACCAAGAATGTCCATGAAAAACCAATTCTGTCAGTGACCCAAGGAACAAATTTG